CTTTTGGATATCTATAAAATCTCAAGTATTAATGGTTTTAAACAAATGCAATTCAAAAGCTGCATGATAAAAACGTTTCCAGCCCAACACAGAAAGTGATAGTATAATGCAGCAACATTCCTAACGATTGACGTTCTCAACTTGGATAGCACAAGGTGATTTGGGCAGAGAATTACAGCGTATAAAAAAAGCCATTTTTTGACCACCATCTGATCAGCGTATAAAAAGCTGTTTAAAAAAGTGGCAAAAGAAGAAGGTTGCATGACTGAGATGCTAATGATTGATGAAAACTTCATACAATCTCTTAAGGAAATCAAACAATCACAAAAATACGCACTTTAAAAAGAAACACCGTCTGATTCACACGGCGAAGATTTAATTGGACTAAAAAAAAATCACAAAAGATGCTAAAACAAACCCCCTACTCAAAAACTGCCTACTAAATCAAAAAAGAACCATAGGTAATTCGAAATTAGTCATTATTCGTACTACTTAAAAGCAACAAAAATCTCTTTTGATCAAGAAACTTAAAAGAAAAAATGTAGTAAAAAAAGTGGCTTACAAAAATAAAAAGAAAAAACTCAGTTGTCACCTATTTCTTCAAAAAAAAACTGTGTTTTAATAGGGTACGAAACTGAATCTAACAAAATGAAAAAATATTGAGTGCTTTAACAACAAACCCGGCTCAAAAGATGCGGATTTTGATAAATTTTCTGTCTGTTTATCGCTTCCAGAAACACTATTCAACGAAGCCTGTCTATCCACTGATTTGCGCGGTAAGAAATTATTTTCTAGGGAATTACCTACTAAAAAAAGGGTGGTTATATTAAGTTTACAATTGTGAGAAAAAAATTTTTTGGAAAATTTCAAAATGCATGAAAATTAGTTAAGAAGTGTTTAAATTAAAGAAATAAATTTAAAAAGAAAAAACTAAATGAAATGAAGAGAATAGAAATAATACTTTGCAAGCCCTGATTTTCGTTAAACAGACGTTTCTCCCAATCCGTTCCACAGTAACGTTTTGTGGAAACCTAAAAAAAATCGATGAAAATAATTATCATTGAAGCGGTTGCAGCACCGAACAAATAGCAATACAGATGTTAATAATTAAAGCCATCTTTTAAAATTAAACTCTGATAATGAACAACAACAATAATGACAAAAAATAAATAAATAAATAAATAAAATCTACATCTCTGCAAACTGCAGCCCGAACTTTCACGTCTCCTACAGTTGTCACACTGCAATTCTGATGATGAGTAGCAGTGATGGTCTGATCGGAGGAGACTTCAGTGCTGACTTGGGAATCGGAATTACAGTGACCCAAATTCAAGTGGTCATTCCTTACTGATACCGGACTTCCCTGTAAAAAGTCAACGCTGTGACAGAGAAAAATAAATATATGTATATGTGCTATACATAAATATAAATATAAATATAAATATAAATATATATATAT